TAATATTCCAACAGAAACAAATTTTAAAAAACAATSAAGTAATAAAATTAAATTTAAAAATTATAAACAGGATTACCATAAGATCCAASAATCCCYCTCTTTGGTATATATCCAAAAGACTTGAAATTAGGGTCTTGTTCATTGTAGCATCATTCATAAGAGTCAGGGATAGAAACATGTAAATTTCATCATGGGATTAATGACTTTAAAAATCCATGAGGATACATGATACATATATATAAAATTCAGCCTTAAGAAGGAAATCCTGCTATATGTGACAACATAAATGTCACAGTAGGACAAATTCTATGTGATTCTATTATATAAGGTATTCATAAAAAAGAGAATAGGATGGTAGCTGTTGAGGTATGCAATGGAATGGGGGTTATGGAAGTGGGAGTTATGGATGTGTAAATTAATGGAAATGGAGAACATCTATGTTAAATGTGAAAAGATGCAAAATGTACACAATTTTGTGGTTCACTTTGTTCTACTCCAAAATGACTSTAAAGTTGCTATTATTCAACATAAATAAATTCTAGAGATTGCTACATAGCAGAGTACCCTTAGTTAAAAATATTCTACTATAAAAATAAAAATTTAAAGAKAGTAGATCTCATACTGTGTTCTTATCAAAACCAAAAGTAAAAGCACACTAATGTGTATAATTATAATGTATCCATAAAATTTTTTWAAAAAGAAAAAGTRTATCTGATGAWTATGAGRGATGATCATTTTATATGAGTAGTTAATTGGGCTTTCTGAGTATATTAATAACCAATATGAGACATAAGAAGAACACAATAAGAAAAGAAGTCAGGAAGAACAGCTTCCTGCAGTGTGAATGAATGGACTTTCTATTTAACAAATAAACTAAAATAATATGCTGCTATACCATATGGAGCAAAAAGTTTGGTAGGAGCCAGGTACAATACACATGCCCGTGATCCTAGCAGCTCAGAAAGCTGAGGCCAGAGGTTTGTAAGTTCAAGGTCAGCCTCARCAACTTAGGGAGGCCCTAAGCAACTCAGCAAGACCCTGTCTCTAAATAAAATATTTAAAAGGCTGGGGATGTGGCTCAGAGGCCAAACACTCCTCTGCTCAATCCCCAGTATGAAAAAAAAAAATGTTTGGTAGGAAATGATGAGAGTGGTGGCAGCAGAGTTTATACACCTCTCAAAGGCTCTATCAATAGATTCATTCTCAGTGCAATCAGAATCTGGATTAGGAGAATGAAACCAAGAGTTTAGATTTTCACACATTACTTTTAAGATGTCAACTAAAAATTCAATAAAAACATAAAAGCATCCCAGGTTGGAGCATTGAAGAGGATCTACACTGTATAAGTATAGGATGAGTTGACCATGAAAATCAATAGAACTTCCAATGAGGTTGAAGAACATGCAGTGAAGCAGTATGTGTTTATAGAAGCTCTATTCAGAATTGTCAAAATTTGGAAGCAACCAAAATATCTTTCAGTAGGTGAATATGTAATGTTTGGTCCAACCAGATGATACAATATTATACAATGCTATTATTAAAAGATCTATTAAGCCATGAAAAGATATGGAGGAAACAAATGTATATTATTACTAAGTAAAAGAAGTCAATGTGAAAGGCTACGCCTCACATTTGGAGGTTGGCAACAAATCTGTGAATGCCACCCCAAACGCAAGAGCTCTGGTTTTCTCTATTCCATTTACTGTTGTAAGCTGTAAAGGGTGTTTCTACTCTCATTAAAAGAAAAAAAAGGAGGAGAGGGGAAGCTATGTATGTGTCCAACTATMTGACATTTGGGGAAAAGGCAAAACTAGACCCCAAATCATCTGTTGTTGCCAGAGGTTAGGGGAGACGATGAAATAAATAGCACAGAAGATATTTGGGGCAGTGACAATACTCTGAATGATATCACAACAATGGACATGTCATTATACATATGTTCAAACCCACAGAATATCAATACCAACATGGAATCCCAATGTCAGCTATGGGCTTYAGGTGACAATGTGCCTCATCACTTGTAACAAAGGTGTATACAACTTTGGTGGGGAAGAGTAATAACAGAGGAGGCTACATGGGAAATATCTGTACTTTCCCCTCTCTTTGGTGTGAATCTAAAATTCTTCTAATAATAAAATTTATTCCGAAAAAAATAAGTTCATACTGTAACATCCAATCAATTATTAATTTTTATTAAAAACTAGCCCTACTCCACTTACCTCTGACAAATTTTTCACTCCAATATGTATATACCCACACAAAATATATCTATATATAATATATATATATAGATATATATATATAGATATATATATATAGATATATTATATATATATACGTTAGTTTCCCTGTTCAACATGTATACTTGTACAGGAATGTAGTAGGAAAAATCAATGGAACAAGTCAACAAATCAAATGTCATTACTAATTATTTGATAAAATTTGATAAATTATTTGATAAGCAAGTTCCAATATCAATACTAAGGTATGACCATTCTCCTTGACCTTCCCCATTCATACTTTACTATGTTTTCTTTTTTGTACTGGACAACAGACTTCTAAAGAGGCAAGCATATTACCGCAGGAATTTCTAAGCATTATGGAGCTTAAATGTAACTCATTGAGAGAGGAAGGTCTGAGAGCAAAGAAATGAAATTACTGTGCACACACAATGTTAAAATCTCAATCTTGCATAGAAGTTTTCACCTTCTCAACCACCTTTCTGAATGCGCTCTTGACCTCCTTGTTCCTCATACTGTACACCATAGGGTTCAGCATAGGGATGACCATAGTATAAAACACAGACGCCATTTTGTCTGTGTCCATGGAGTGACTGGAGCTGGGTTGTAAGTACATGAAGATGACTGTCCCATAAAATATGGTGACTGCAGTGAAATGGGAGGCACAGGTGGACAAGGCCTTTTGGTGGCCCTGAGCTGAGTGCATCTTCAAGATAGTGATAAATATGAACATATAGGAGATCAAGATAATCAGAAGAGCAAAAAAGACATTAAAACTGGACATAAAAACCAGAAGAACTTCACTAAGGTRTGCAGCAGAGCAAGACAGAGCCATGACTGCTGGAACATCACAGAAAAAGTGATGRACCACGTTRGATTTACCAAAAGAGAGACTGAATATGTCCCAAATGTGAAATATGGCATTCAGGAAGCCACAGACATAGGATCCTATGGCCAGACGAGCACATACACTTGGTGTCAAGGTCGTGGTGTAATGTAGGGGCTTACACACGGCTACATAGCGGTCATAGGCCATGGAGGCCAAGAGGTAATTTTCCACAGTGGCAAAAGCTATRAAAAAGAACATCTGAGTTGCACACRCATTGAAGGAGACAGTCTTGTATTCTGTAAGGAACTYGGCCATGACTGTGGGAGTGACCRCTGAGGAATAGCCAAAGTCCACCAGAGACAGGTTACTGAGGAAAAAATACATGGGRATGTGGAGACGAGAGTCCAGCAGGATCAACATGATCATCCCCAGGTTCCCGATGACATTGATGAGGTAAATGAGAGTGAACATGATAAAGAGGGGAACCTGCAGTTCTGGGGCATCGGTTAGTCCTAGGAGGATGAACTGTGTCACTTCTGTACAGTTGTCCATCAAATATTTGGGAATCCTGAGAAATAAAGGAATAGAGGAATACACAAAAAGAGACAAATTGCAAATTAAAACAACAATGAGATATCGTGTCACCCCAATCAGAATGGCTGTTACCAAAAAAATTAACACATGCTGGCAAGGATGYGGAGCAAAGAGAACTCTTAAATATTGTTGGTAAGAAYGTCCATTCATATAGCCATTATGGAGTACCGTATGGAGGTTCCTCAAAAAGTTAAAAATAGATCTCCATGTGATCCAGCA